AATGATTACCACATCATATCTGATTGTGGCATGTTCTTTCTCCGGGACTGTTTATTAATCTGACTGTCATGTTGGCGCAGTGGCTAAGTCGCCGTCACCGGCTTGCTTTGGTCCGAGGTTCGATTCCCGTCACCGCCACCGAACTGTGGTGATAGGAAGCTTTGCTGTTGTCCGGTTCAATGCCACGCTTAACCTATCGGGACCCGATGGGGTTCTCCTCTCGAAGTTCCGGGGCCTAGGTTACCGGTTTCCATCACTGAACAGCAGGTACTCTGACAATGGAGTTTACCCCATCTGTTGTTCATCACACAACAAAGGATGTAATAAAACTTGGCATTCTCCTAACCAATTACGTTTGATCACTTACCTTGATAGTAATACAAATCTCATATTGTTGTGATTTCCATCTTTTCTTCGTGGCCGCCATTCGAACACACGTAGCTAACCTTACTCATTCTGTCGCTGCTTGAACTACACTTCTGTCGGTAGGCAATGCGAAATTTTCTGGAGATCGTATTTTATCTTTGAGTGGCAACAGATACAAAGGATTGTTTTACTTTCGCTGAAACTGATGAAATTCTTTCGAGTAGCCTGTTTTTATGATTACCTACATGTGCAATTATTATGTCGTCCCAATTGTCCCATAATCATCAAGTTTTAAATCCACTCATTGTTGATCAGCACGATTGTCAAGTAGTGTTGCTCATCTGACATTTGTCTGATTGGAGCTACTCACGTCGAACAACTACTACCACACCCCAAAATCGATTGGTAAACAAGGTAATCTCAACAATGTTTGGGATTATTCAACAGCCAAATTCCATTGACTCTATTCACATCCACAGAGTTGATATCCATTCAAGCTAAACCATGGAAACCAATGTCACGAAACAAACGGAAAAATAGATGAATCACACCAAATTGCCCGATTGTCCTGACGAACACATTTGTCTCGGTACAGAAACAGAAATTCGAGAACCACGAATTTCCGTTCTACAAAGTGACCTCTGCCAATATGAGAAAAGCAAATTAGTTGGCTTTATCTCTGCACACCTCAGCACGATGTTTGTTCGCGAGCCCAGTTGTATGAACTCAAGAGTGCAACTGGAACGTTTATTGGATGGGGTTGCGGAAACTCCATTGTTTTTAGAAGTAACTTATGTATTGTGTTTGCAAGAGCGGCGGATGATGGCGTGTGAGTGAAATAATATAGGGACGGAAGGTTAGTCATAGATTATTAGCCCTTACTTTAAAGGAAGATTAAAAATGACAATACGATACCAAGTAACAGACAGTTTGAAAGAATCAATAGTCATTTGGTTAAGAGACAGGTGGGTGAAGGTTATGGGCAAAGCACCTAAGGAAGTAAGCTAAACTGGGAGACAAATAGTGGCAGCGAAAAAGAAAAAAGAAAAGTAGTCAACCGATGGGCTGTTGACTGTAAGTTACACATTAGGGAATAGTCATCAAGCAATCGGGTGGTCTTACGTTGACCCGGACCATGAATGGAACCAAGCTCTCTTGAAAATTGACTTTTCATCACGTGGTGGGAACAAGACTAACCAACGCAAGTGGGGTATTTTTATTGATAACCTGCATATTGTTATTTCAATCGCCCTGAACCTCGGTAACCGTGATTTTCTGACAGCTTCTGACACAAAACAAACTGCATGAAGATGGGAGCCTTTTTGGTAAAATAAATAAAATAAAGTTGTCCTAAAAAACAGTTGATCCCATTATTTGATCAAAACTGGAATTTTACCCGAAAGCTTTGAGTGGAACGATGAGTAAAATAGTTCCCCTAGATTGTTAGAATGCATTTACTGTCTCCCAGATGCCTTTCTGCGATAAAAATCGCAGCAATGTGGGACTTGTGAAACTAAAAGCTCTCTACTCAGTACCCGTTTATGGAGCAATGATACTCCGTTAGGTCTCGTTTGTATTCACTGGGCTATTGCAATTTCCACGGAAGGTTGTACGTAATAACCTATTAGTTTTCAGTCACATGCATGCAATAGAATACTGGTCAGACAATGAGTACTACTCATGTGGTCCCCGTTTTGTCCTGCATTTGTATTGATCATGAGGATCTAAGTGTTTGCTATCGCTTGCATGCACGTCGACACACGAAGGAAGACATCGACAAGCACTCCTTGATCGATTTTATCGTTGTGTATAGCGCTTTGTATACTTGTAATTCGTTGGATATTCACAGCTCACTACTGATCAATCGATTCCACCGGAACGTTCCTGTTTTCCGGGATGAACGTTTAAATGTTCTTACTATATTGATCTGGTCAAGCAAAATACATATCCCTTACTGCTCGTCGTGTACCTTCGGTTCTTTATGATATTCACCAACAAGTGTACCAGCAAAACAATTAACGCTGAAAAAAATAAGTATGGTCAACTTATTTCATCAAAGTTTTGTTATTGATTTATTTACCCAGTTCATTAGTTAGTAATAATCCATCCTGTTTCTATATCGAGGCGATTCTATGAAAATTAAGCAATCGCAAAATAGGTCGCTGGTGACAGGGTTGGAGTTTACGAACTGTTGGAGGATAGGTAGAAAGCCTAACCAAATCGATCAACGACAACCTCTCGGGATTGTGAAGTCATCAGCTCTGTTCTATTTACGTTTTCACGTGGTCCTTCAAATGCTCCTAGCGCTCTTCTGTTACCTGGCCATTTATTTCACGTCACATAAGTACAAATGTTCATTGTTTTATAAAGGACTGATGTGTTTTCATTCAACTGAACACGTTAGCACAGTTTGTTGCACGCAGCTGAACGTATGATGCAATGTGAAGTGAGTATTATTTCCGTTGGTCCAAATCCAATGCTATTTCACACCTGATGCGCGTTTTTGTGTTTTCATCATCGTCATCCTCTTGAAAACTGAAGTGCGTTGAAGAGTAGCCTCGTTTGTGGATACCATCGTTTGTACTCCGATGAAATTAAGAAGAAGTATCTTTACGGTTTTTCGTCGCTATATCTGTTTGTTTAATTTGATTGTAGAAGATGTGAGAAAACACTTCTGTTAGTGGTTCTGCTCTTTGGTTACCGTATTTGTTTAGTGGTCCACCACACAATTGTACGTGCGCATCCATGCAATAGGTCGGGATGGTATGCAGAGTACATATAAGACAAGTGGATGTATGAGTGAGAAATCGAACTGGAATTGTACCCTATTGCCCCATATCACACTACGGTTTTCTCTGATCCAACACTGTCAATAGCTGGGAACAAAACTCTTCAAGCGGGTGAGTAGATTAGCCCAATTAAACTGAAGATTCATGATAGATCACTGCATTTTCACTATGATGAATCGATAAACGTACGTAGGCTACCACGTTTGCGTGTGTACCCTCATGGATTACCGTAGGCAATGATGCATCCAAAGCGTAAAACTGAACTAGAAAACCAGATCGAACGACACGGCGGGGCAGCAAATCTCATGAATCTTTTGATAAGGTAAACGACCTGTAATCTGACTATAATAAATGATGGGCAATTGATGTAGATGTGCGCGCAGCGTCTAAAACGTTCGATGCGTACGTAATAAACCCATGGACATTTTTGGTTAACCCGTATGAATGTTTCTGTAAAGGTATATCGTCACTGCTTGTAGGGTGAAGGAATAGCGATTTATCGTGTTTATATGTTGCACTCCCTGTTGAACCACTTATATCGCTTTGGTTTACTTAAATTGTTTCAAAAGAGTTGACGATATGTGGCACTAAATTTCTAGCTTACCATCACGTGATACGGTCACTGGATTTTCATCTCCTATGTCCCGGCAAGGAACGCAAAAAACAATCTCATTGATTACTAAACACCGACCGCTTTGATATTCTGCCGAGATGGACTTCCATGAACTAATTTTCCTCGATCGGATATGAATGATACAATTCGACGGTCCGATTCTACCTGATCAGCTTGAAGTGAACTTTTTTAGGAAAGCAATCTCGTGGTTTGCATCACTGGTTTTTTTTCTATACCGCACGCTTGACCACTAATGTAGTAACCTACATGAGAAAGTCACTTTTTGAGGTAATCTATTCAAAAGCCTTGATTTTGAGAATATCAGTTACCAAATATCTTACCTTTCATGAAAGTACACTTCATCAGGGGAATGGTTTTGGTCAGCCAGTCAAATCCCATGTCTGTCATCAGTGAGATTTTACGGCATTACTTGATGATGATGGTTTCCGGGTTTTCTTGAGTTGGTTTTGAGAAGCGGTTTCAAATTGCTTGCTTTGTTGTACATAGATTACTGGCCACAAATGACACTGTTGGGAACGATCCCATTGGTGATAACGAATGATCTTGTCGTCACTGTGTAAACGTGAAGATCCAAATGTTGCAGCGAGACTTGTTCACAATTTAATTACTGAAATCCTGAATCAACTCTAAGCTGCATCTCTCCGAAAGAAGAACACATGGATTGTTTCCCAGCTTGAATTCTGTCCAGCTCTCAGCTTGAGAAACCGTATAGTCATTTGAAATCAGTGTTCAATAATTTGTTTTATGAAATTGAGATTCCATGTCAAGATTCGATATTCTACAGTTCATTGAATCGCACAAGATCGGACCTGCTGAGAAAGTGATGACAGTTCCTGTACTGGTATTTTTCAAATTTCCTAGAGGGATGCACCAACAGACCACCTTTGATCCGTGAAAAAAAACTGCACAAATATTCTGGGGATTTGGTTAAAACACATTTTCATTTTTGCTTAAGTCAATCCTACAAAGGAAGATCTATCCTGGTGGATTACCTATTGCCAAGTCATGTAGAGGTGTAGCGAGAAAAATCACGTTCTGATCAGTCTTTTGGTGGGTGGTTCTCAGACAAACCGAATTACTTGGACGATTCACACTTCTACAGCGTTTAACACCACATTCCAGATGGAACAGCACGTAATTTTTATATCCACTAGAAAATACAATTTGCCTACCACCCAGTGGCAAAAAGAAACAGAAGTGAGCAAACTTACTCTTTCTCGAGCCAAGTCATCGATTTGTTTCATACGCATCTCTCGTTGATCACGGGTCGGTATATCCGGAACTTCTTCATTCCGTTCCGGTAATTTTGGCAGTTTTCCATTTTCCGTATACCCCTTGTTCAGGCGAAATGAGTTTCGAAATTTCTGTTTAAACTGAGGCTCCCGGGCCTGCATCGGAGAGGCCGGAGGTGAAGGAGAGGGGACGTATTGAGTAGCCAGATTTGGGAGTTTAAACAAACTGCACAAATCCGAAAGCTGGTGAACACAACGAAATAGGCTCTAAATTTTGTGGCCACTAACGCAGAAGAATTAGCCNATTAGCCACATTATCAGGAACTGATAAATTCCGGTTGGAGAATATCCTCGAGGTGTTGTGAAACCTTTGTTTTTACCACCCGAGTGGCCTGACTTGTTTGCGCGAATGGTGTGTGTGTAAGTGTGTGTGTGTGTGTGNTTCAACGAATTAGAAGAGGCTAAATATAAATGCGAGCGCAGTCCAGACATATTTCGTTTCGTTCTCATGCACACACACACAGGTAACTTGACGAGAGTGCGTGCGTGCGCATGCCGAGCGATCACAGTAGTCTCTACCCCATTACTTGCTCATGTGACCAGCAGCTGTCGACGCCCTTTGCACGCTGCCAGCGCAACGCGTGTCCACGTGTCCTGAGTGCTGACAGAGCGCTCCGGTAATTCGAGCTAGATGTGCATTACTCCAGTTTCAATAGGAATGAGGAATCAGATCGAGTTGTTTTCCATTTTTTCACGATGTTGTTGCGGCATATGCGGCCTGCTAAGGATATCAGCCCCTAAAGGTCAATAAAGATGCTTTTGCCATGACAACCTTGACTCTGGTGTTTCCTACTGCTTCTGGTGAGACTGCACCGTCAGCTCAAGGTGAGTACGCATATTCCTGTAGACTTTTTCCAAAAGAAAGTGTCCAAACTAAACGGTCTCACGAATACCCAATATCACTGTTTCTGTTTCCAGACCAAATAGCAGGTATGACAAACCACTTCAGGGATAACAGGGTAAAATGGATTACATACAGCAAAATAAATATTGTACTGAAAGTATTCTGCCGATCAACTGCTAGTACTTCAAAGTCAATCACTGTTGTTTTTTCTGCTGCTGCTGCTGCTGCTGCTGCTGCTGCTATTGCCACGGCTATTGTTCTAGTTGTTGGTAATGGGGTGGTCGTAGTGGTGGGGATGGTAATTTTGATTATATAGTTCCTTTGAAAAACTGTTTTTGCCGGCAATTAATTTGGTTACAGATCGATTATTTCTCGGTTGACAAAGGTCCTCTTTGTTGTCATCTCTGCTCTGGACCAGCGATACACTTGTCTGTAATTCAGTTGGAACGACACCAATTACACCAGTCCAAACATTCCCCATTTAAAATAACAGTACACAACTTTACTCAAACCACGTTAAACGTGGATTATACCAACTGGATTTTCGGTTTTCTATAATGGAGCTGCTTCTCACTTGCCTGTACAAATCAGGAGTGTAGTGACTGGGGTCAAATTTTCACGCTCGACCGAGAGGTTATTCGGGGCGGGGAGATGGCAGAAGCTAGGCCCTCGATAAGATGCTTATGTGAGTGAAATCGATTGTGATGATAGTGTAGGTGACGGCGATCGTGATGTCGGTGATCAGTTAGAGGCTAGGATAAATTGAAAAATTGTCCGTGTTGTATTTGTGCGCATAGCTTGGGTTCGAAAAGATAAATGTTAATCGCCTAAGCGGTGACAATTTTGTGTGAGTGCGCTGGCTTTAAGTGATTGGGGACATAAGAGAGATGACTTTGAACGGAGATTCCGGTCTAGCTTGATGACCTGTATTGGCTAGAAAGATAAAGAATAAAGATTCCAATGCTCTTCTTTGGCTTAACCGAACGGGATCATGAATCACTGAAAACAATTAATCTCCTTCGAACTTGTGTTCTACAAATCAATTGAATTTAACATTGGCGCTCGCGAAAAGTTATGTGCATACATGAATAGTAATAAAGTTGATCCTTTTGAAATTCTTTTAGTTCATTAGGTTATCAGTTTCTAGTGTGTATAAAAAAAACTAATATGATAGGAGAAGTTGCAACGGGAGTTACTTATCTGGCGCATCGAATACTTTTATTTGAACATTTTTAATTAGCACTAATCACTTCAATTCTCGTCTGAGTTGAGGTGATCGCTGTCCTATGCACTCGATTATTTGCTCACAATGTTCAGTAAGGTATGTTGGCGGAACAACTACGCATTTGTCAAATGGGATCGAGAAATTCAAGATCACCTCAAATACGTTAGTAGTGCATAGGGACAACAGAAACCAAGCTGATAACGATGCATTACAGGTGATTTGCACGGTATTTGCGAACGTTTCCGGAGACATTGGTCAGTGTCTTCTCGCAACTGGTCAAAAAGTAACCGTTCACTTCGTTCTCGGAAGCGATTCGTGCTGTCGTCTCGACCGCCTTGGCTCCAATCTGGAACTAGGCTCTTGCGCTGTCGAAGTGAATGTAACCTTCTGCATAACACCAAAACCAACCGCATCAAACTAATCCTCCATATTAGGTGATTCCAAACAATGATCGAATCACATCTGTCTTCTCCGTCCCTTCCCCAACCGTCAGAGACCATAGTAAAAAATAATCCATGTGGACATTGAAACGAATATCAAAACGTTATTACGTGATGCCTAAAAATGTCCTCGTTTAAGTTTGTCAGTGGAGTATATTTTGTGACCTGTCGGAACTGGAACAACGAGATTTGCGGTATGAAGCTTGACCTTCTATATCTCATGATCGACGACCAAAAACTTGAGCGATTGGCTCCAGTTATTTCGAATTCAGTATTTAGAGTGAAAAAGGTATTTAGATAGTAAATGTTTGGATTAGCCCATTCGGTTTTTCACAGGCACCAGGCACTGTTGATGATGATGTTCGGTGTGGGTTTTACTCCTTGGGATATCGTTAACTCCCCACTAGTTGAAAGCATTTAAATGCGGTGGAAATGTTTGTGATAACCGACTAAGAGCACTGACAGCTGTTTCTTCCTGTTTGGGACTCGTCAGCAGTGAGTACTTTTGTGTCTCTGTTAGAACTCAAACCGCACTGCTGACGATTACTTTTGTGCCACAGTTAGGTAGTCGGACTTCGGACAGACAACGGATGTCTACCTTGTGGTTGTGCTGTGATCGCATTGTGATACACCGGCGTCCTCTGTCTAGCAATGTCCTAACATTCCAGCAGGCTACATGAAGGCTGGATGTCGTGCATAGATGGTTTAGGTTCCCAGCTTGCTCATTTGTCACCCCAGCCACTGGGAGAGCGCAGGGCGCGTCGCCTCCCGAGAACGATGTAGCATGAACGCGAAGTGTCATTGTAAGAAAATTCATGAAGGAACTTGGGATTGAGTTACTAAGTGACGTCCCCAGCGTCGCTCGGCTTTTTTTTCGAGGGTGCACCTCTAACCCTTGCACAACCAAGTGCGACCTGCAGGGTCACAGGGTAGAATTGTTGGTAGCTAGTGACCGTCAGAATGGTTCATACGCCTTTCGGATGGCTCAGCGCCAGTGCAGGATCCCAGCGTGTCTGTGAGGTGTGAGGGTAGGTAGCATTCCTCAGAGTTTTTCCTAACCGGAAGAATAGGCAAGTAGCAATGGCCTTATTTGGTGGCGAGCCAAATTCGCACACGTTGCGATGCTATCAGCAGACACTTATGGCATTTGAAAGGGAAATCGGTTGACAGCCCGAAACCCCACCACATCATCTAGCATTGCCGCTGATCGTCCACGACCGATTATTCAGTGCGGTAGCCCCCACTTATTCACGGTTAACCACCAAGGTGGCGGTTCTCCTATCCGCGACCTGGAGACGTGCTCGGTAGCATTCAGCTATGATATCCGTAGATAGTCCATTGAATACGAGCCGAGGTATTGAAAAGTGTATTATATAAAAACCTGAAGTCTGTGGTTTTAGTTGTTTAAAATCACATTCCGCAAATAAACGGTGCTTTCACTGTACAAAAACATAAGTCCAAATAAGAATTTGTGCAACGTAAACTTTATCGCTCAATTATGATGTTTTCTCATCACGAGCAAACGTGATTTTTCTGTGTCCGACACAGTATCATTTAACTCTCAGGGGATAGGCAAACTGGTAACTGCCGCGCTCCTTTGCTATACTTAAACTAGCTATTCCTTATAGTTCATATTCGCAGGAGGTCGTCATTTTCACCTGACGAACCATGCACCGAACTCATATCTTGATTCCGTCAGTACTCCTCAATGATACATAACCATCAGCCGACCGGAAACTTTAAATTTTGACCACCGAATTGGGATGATTATTATCCTTATGCCGACTACTTCTCAACGGAGCTGACCAGAATAGTGTAGTTAGTGTAGTTCGACGTCATCTTCAGTGATAGTCGGCCAGTTCCAAAAGGATACGCAAGCTATGTTCACTCAACGGGATCTTACGTTTACCCAGTTCATCACCCTTGTTATCCCAGGATGAGACTACCGTGGTACTTAACAGACTNACAGACTGCGGTGAATCTGATGACGATAGGAATCAAATTTGATGATGTGCCAAACAATGTGTTTAGCTTGCTTGCGGCGTTTTACATGCCTAGCTACAAAACACCACACGATCTTATAGCTTCTTGCCACTTTTATCACTTGTGTTATCAAATAGCTTATTTACATCCAGTAACGGATTACAAATATCGTTTGAGTTGTGAAAACTGACGACAGTTGCTGCAACGTTTCGTCGATACTGAGGCCCAGAAAATTTGCGTTTCAGCTGGTAGATTGATAAGTTAAAGTTTGAAAATCGCGAATAGCATTCATCTTGGAATGGGGGGGGGCGGGGGCATCTATATCAGTGATGACAATTTTTTGTCCACTTCGATCTCTCATGATTGATGTGGTTCCTCTTAGTGTATATAATCTTGTGTCTACAGCTTGTCGAGATAAGCAAATTTTTATGGAGAAATTCCCACCACTGTAGTCGTAACCGAATGCACAATGTCTGCCATATATTATCATCAGAATAATTTGCGCCCATCAGATAGAACCGAGGATGGAACAACCGAACTTACCAAGTTACTCAAATTCTGACAGGAACCACTCCGTTTCGATACCATTCTGGATCGATTTGTGGACATCGCATACTGAGGGAAGAAGAGAACGCAAGTACGTGATGTCACGTGCGTGAATTTGCAACACAGGATAAATAGCTCCTAACATCTATTATTTATATAAAAAACAGCGAAAAGGAATTTCCCACCTAATAACAGTAATGGGAACAATAATAATAAAATATGAATGATAAACAACCTAACGGAATTTGGGAGGATTCCAGGGGAGAGGAGAGGGTCAAGTTAGACCATGTTGATTCAACAAGGAGAATATAAATAACAATATCATCTGGTGTATAGGTGTAGATTATTTCTGTATTCGTCTGAATAAATGACTGAAAAAGACCAATAAAGATAAACTACAGAGATAGATTGTGATTCGTTTGTACTTTTTCGTGAAAGGCTTTGAAATGTGATCTTTAGCTTCGACCTTCCTTTGATCGTTTGTGGTTACTGGATCCTTAGTGCACAGTGTGTGCTGTGGTTTAGTCCAATGATAAATAAGCATCGTCGCTCCGCAAATTGTCACTCTTTATGTCAGCCAGTCAGGATAAAATTATTTCATACAATCAGAGTAACGCCCCACTAATTTCGCATGATTTAACGAATCGAGAGATACACAATAGTGGGCTGTAGCTGATAAACCATTGTCCGTTACATACAACCTGAAGTAAACCTTGTGTTGTAAAACCAATACACATCGGGGTACGATAGGTTTGGTCAAGAAGTCAGTCAAGTAACATCATTATTATTAAATGTTCCATTATGAAACAATTGCTCATTATTCGTGGTTCCTTGTATAACTAATGAGATGAACCCGTCCAGTTCCCTTATCGAATTACAGAGACTATACTTACCTCATTCGGGGTTTGATTTTATTTGGAACAGGAATTAGTCAAAAACAAAGTGAGAATCATCTGTTGGATATTTGCTCTGGATAAAAATAACAATCGAATGTGACATTTTTTCGAACGCACACAGTAAGAGAGTTGGTGTTTGGGATACGCAATTAAAAAGCGTAATACCGTTGTACGATAAGTTACAACTAGGGAGGGCCACGGGTAAAGGTCATATGCTTTCGGACACCCAAGATGGGTCTGTTGTGAACGATCAATAATAAGTCAAGTATCCTTAGTCTACCTTGTGACCTTGCGAACGCGTTCTCGGTTTTGTTACGTCATCGTGACAAACCCCGAGTCAGTCACGTTGACTACTTCAATTTTTCTTCAGAACCATAGGAAAGGGAGGGGGAACGAGGACGCATCACGCATGATCCACTTACACCTGTGACGGTTCATTTCGTTTGGCCAGTACATAACCGGGACTATAATTACGAATTACAGTTTCATGAGAGTTGTTAGAGTAGGGCGTGGTAATACATAGTGCATAGCATTCCTGCGTTCTACATTCGAGACGCAACATGTGACCCTAGTTGGCTCAAAGGGACTCCATCAGAGAAAATGATGCGTTGCAGCGATTCCTTTCTAGATCTGTAATTTAGATGTATTTTGTTCTGTACAGAACAAAATCTACTACAGGAACAACTTAGGGAGCAGCGAGCGCCGTTTCAATTCGGAACTGATAATGGAAATCACATCACCTTTTGAAGATCTAAGCTTTGAAGCACTGGGTCCCCTTTATCCATCGTTTCAAGACCAAAAGAAGACAAATGTCGCGAGATGTTAACATTTTGTTTAATCTTTTCAATCGCTGACGTAAAACAATCAAACAAATCTAATGTGCTATAGCACATTAGATTTGTAAATCCGAGTGAACGGACATGTACAGTTAGACGGGGGCTATCAGAATTAAGAAATAGGTCAACTCCACGGCAAGTGAACTGATTGGATCAAGAACTTTTGGGGGGTCACACGATCACAGGCGGTCACAAGTAACCCGGGATCATCAATTGCAAACAATCTCATGACAACCAAACACACAATTGATCCCGCTTCCTCCTTCGAACTGTTGCTGCGTAACTGCAATGCAAAACTGTTGGCAACAAGTGAGACGTTGCTAATCCGATTACATAATCCCGTTCTCTGCGCCCAAAAGTTGTTGATCCAATCAGTTCACTTGCCGTGGTGTTGACCTATTTCTTAATTCTGATAGCCCCTGCCTAACTGTGCAGTTCCGTTCACCAGGATTTACAAATCGAATGTACTCGTTTGTTTTACGTCAGCGATTAAGAAGATTAAACCGAAGCGTTAAAATCTCGCGACATTTGTCTTCTTTTGGACTTGACCCAAGCCTTCACGAATTACTTAAAAATAAAGAAGTAGCATGATTATTTGTAGGGAAGCAGTTTAGTTTTCGCCTTTGATGTTTACGAGGAAATTCCCCTAGTATGTTGCACTAAAATATGTCCTCAAGAGAGGGAAAGCGTTGAGTAACAGCTGGATTGCACAAAATCACTTGAAATGAAATCAACAGTCTTCAAAACCTGTCGCACAGATTGACATTGGAGAAGGTACAATACGAAGCATTGTCAAACTAATTCATCATCCAGATGATTATAACAGTTTATAGCAAAAACACGTGTTATTGCACCCTCCCAATTCGCCCCACCTCCATTGAACCGAGAAATGAATAACCAAACTGCCAACATGTCTGTAAATTAAGGCACCTCTAGTCATGCATACAACCAGTTCACCGCACAACGATAAGTCATTTTTTCCCAAAGGAGCACAGCGCATTACTACAGAAAACTGTGAACGAGGAACGCTGAAGATCAATCAATTACAACCACCTGAACTTCATCCGAGTTGGAAATTCAGATATATTCGGGACGTTTTATATGGTTTTATGCAATCTAAAAAAGCAAACCAAACTATGAATTGTAAGAGAATGATGGCATATCTGTCTGTTGTCTATAATATCATTCAAAGATACCTCAGTAATCACATCGATTCAACACAGAAGTTAAGTTGAAACTACACACTCACACTTTAGGAAACGGATTCAAAATGAGTAGTAAGTGAATGACTGAATCAAATATATTTTGAAACACAATCTGTTTTGTAATTAAGTACTATTAGAGAGAATTTGCACGTGTTATTTGTTTATGAGATAAGTCATATATCTTTGAGTTGTACTAACCATCCTTCAGACTTCATCTTCATGCACAATCCTCAGTTCATCCCATCAACCGTTCAACACTCGGTAAGCACTACACTTGAGGTTCCTTCTCATTTGAGCTCAATCAATAAAGCATATTTTTTGTCCCTTTCGGGCTCTGAATTCCGGACCTATCGTATGGAATGTGTGTTCATGTTAACATTATACCAACCAACTCGCACCGAAGCTAACCAAAATTGCTAACAGATGTTTTTTCATGTGTCACCTCCATTTATAATCAGCCAGTTCATATTAGCCTGACAGCAACGAAAGGAGAGACAGTGGACCATCTGCTAACTCCATTCAAAAGCTTTCCATCGAATCAGGACTTACATGTACGTTCTGCTGACTTGCCGAGAAGCTGCCGGACCAGAAGGAATTCACGTAAAACTCAAAGTTACTTATGAGTAGTGAAGTAATTAGGTAATATTGATTTTAACTGACCTTCCTTCGGACTTCATGCATAACACTCAGTCCATCCGCTGGGTCCGGAGTTCGAAGTCCCAGCGGGACGGCGAATACACACTATTGATGAGCTCCAACGAGAGCACCCATCAACTGCAGGGCTTTGTAATGTGTGTTTGAGTGAATAAACTGAGGATTATGCCTGAAGACCAAGTCTCAAGGATGGTCACTTCAAATCCATAACATTTATTACACTCTACTACTCACAAGTAACCATCGGTTAGATGTGAATCTCATATTTTGCTATGTATGTGCCGAGTATAAACAGCCACGCAAGCAATCTTGATATTGTGAGATTTTTCCTGTCATTCAGATGCTACCGATATTGTAGTACTCAGAAAAAGATAGCTGCGTTGAGTTTGCCGGGCTAGTATCAACCAAGCATAAGGAATACTTATGAATCACAGATGCTTTGCATAAGGAATGCAAAAATAGTACTTAGAAATGTGCGAAAAAGCGAGGTAAAAGGAATGCACATGATTTAACCGATTTCTCGGATTCCAAACCACTGTTCCTCTCCTTCTGCCTTAAAGGTAAATGGTCCTTTTGCAGACATTCAGCGCAATCAGTTAACATGCATGCGCAAACGCCAATGTTTAAGTGCCATTTGTAACCTATAACGTTGTTCTGTTTCTACACAAGCGATTATAAAATCCAGCCCATCGACCCATGACATTTCTGGCCAACTCTGTAACAGCATACCCCCGCCATGCCCAGTTTAATTAACCCTTTCTGAGTGGGCTGACAGAAATCAGTTCCATTGTGGATTTCTCTGTTATTCGGTAAGTTGATGATGGCTATTGTCCAATGGCTTGGATGATGGTGCAGTAAGCTTAGAGACTGCAACTTTGAAACCCACCGGGGCTGCCCAAATTTTCCGCTCATCCAGCTCTTCGTAGATTGGTCATCCCAGCCTTCCAAGAGTGATCTATTTAATAGGAGGAATTAAGCGTATAAAAGTTTCCGGCATATCAACTTACGGAAAGACTTAAATTAGAATTACAATTATTTTTCAGTTAGAACCGTTTAGTCACCGTTTAGACCACAAATTTTCACTATAGGTTCGTCAGTGAAATTCACTGACTGATTAAGATTTACACGACCAACTGTCCTGGTATGTCGCATCACTATAAGGATTCTGCCATGAATCCTCCCCCTATCCCAAATCATAGTCAATCCGTTGTTTATAATGAGGGTCAATTATTTTTCATTAGAAAAAATAGTACGAGTTAAGAGTGTCACAGTGCGCTCGATGTAGTGCATCACTCATTATGGATATTTTTTTCACGTGAACTGCATCAGAGAAATGACGAATCAGTATCGCCCCTTAGTGATGAAAAATAGACTTACCAGGTTACCAGCAGAAGTGGACCGTCTCTTGATCTCAGCCATGCTAAGGTTCCGTTTGGGTAGGTAATCCTTTTGGGCCGTATCCTCCGCCGAATTATCACGCTGCAATTTTGGCGGCCACGAGTGAATAAAATGGGACAGTTTAATGGAGGAAGTTGTCAGGTGTTCGATCAGAGAGAAATATTACTGTATGTATGTGGGGCTGAAATTTTACTTGTGCTTAGAGAATTGGTGTGTGACGAAGAATCATCTGATCTCTTCAACAGTGGCAATCGACATGCCCAGTGAGGAAGATTTTTGTGAATAAAACTTGAGCATGGAGATCATGTGCGGTGTAATGCAAAAGTTGCAGTGATGTGTTGTACATGTCCCCGATGCTAGTCACTGTCAGTCATTCACTGGTCAATGACTACGAAGTGGTTGATGATCTTCAACGTTTCCAAAAACAAATTGCTTTTACAGTAAATTCCTAGTATAGTATCCAAGTTGGGTCGAACCTCTGGGGGAAACTGCTACGTCGAATAAAAAATGTGAGCTTTTGTTTTAGACAAAATGAACTTGCATCATTTTGTGCAATCCCAGCAGTCCAGAATTGAAGTAGAAGCAGTTGACTCACTGAAAATTGCTACCATGTTCTGGCGTTTGTCGCTCTCACACCAAAATGCATGAGTTTGTGTACCAGCGGTGCTACTCCAAAACAGTGTCATTTGAAGTGGCCAATCAAATGATCGATTCCAGTTTTCTCTTGAAATATGGTTTGCTCCACATTCAGAAACTCATACAACTATCAACAAAGGAAAGTGCCTTTTGCTGACTCAGCATTAGCACTACTATAACAAATTCCGGCGGATCAAAATATCCGTTTGGTGCTTCCAAGCTTTTTAGTTTAACCTTCATTAGCTGTTTACATGATGATATTTACTAAATAATCGGATCAAGTCCCCTATCACTATCATGCAATGAACATTCAAGTTTGGAATGTTTCCAACCGAGTCATAACTCTGTCGGCCGGTGCTGAATATGAGTAAGCCTTGATGCAAAGTCAGGTTGTGCTGCCGCTTTTAAGGAAAATGAAAAACGGTCCGATTAGCTGCCCGTTGCAGAATGTGTTGTGTTTTACGTGTGAGGTTCCGGGTTCGATCACCAGCTGGGTCGATAGTTAAGCCCCTCAATTGAGACCCAACCAACTTGGAACATTTTTCCAGCGTTTCCTACTTTGTCATTTTACGTTTCGTTTGCTCTTCATAAAACGAAATGCATTATAAACCTATTTCGGTGTTATGGTGTGTAGTTGAATATGATTGTGGACAGTTAGGGTAGGCTAAAGGTGAAGGTCACAAGCTTTTGGACGTACACGCTTGTTAAGTTGCAAGTGGTCGATAATGCCTCGAATATCCTAAGTCAGTGTTCGNGTTCGTCGCGATCACATAACAAAACCCAGAATGCATCCACAAAATCTACCTTGTGACCCATTTGCACCAAGTTAAGTGCGAAAGCCGAGTTCGGTCTAGCGAATATGGTGCAGACTGAGTCTTTGATTCACATATGTACTTTTGTTTTTGCTCGGCTATTCTGGTTTACAATAATCGGTCGGTGCAGCTCAAACAGAAGGTGTAAATGCAAAGGGCAGTGGGTTCGACTTAGTGTCAATCTTTAAATGCTGCAGGGGGAGACGCTGTGTGATCAAATGGAGACGTAATACAGCGACTGAGTTGATTATTTTTATACTTTGTGGGATAAGCCGCATTGTTGAATCNGAATCTCCTTTGTATGACAGGGAGATGTAAATGCCCTTTTGGACACTCGATGCATAAATACTTCGGAGCGATTTCTTGTCCAAATGTTATGGGGTATGAATGCCTCTGGATGCCCATTCTGCCGTAATGCACCAAATATATTCCCCGGTTCGTTTCTGAGGGTGTCCCCAATGCAAATTTTTTTCACCCGATGGAAGAACGTCCGACTCAAGGCTCTTGTGTGTTCCATCGAAGAGAGGCTGTTCAAGCAAAAGTACTGTCCGGATCAAGCCTTCTTGCGGATTATAGATCATTGCATATAACAGTCACCTTTCTGGATTGATAAAATATGAAGGACAGTGGTGAATTTCAAACTGGGAAGTGCTGTGTTGAACTCATTTAGCAGTAAATCAATATCTTCAAGCCTTTTGAAAGTGGTGAAAACATCGTCAACGTACGTTTTGTATAAGAAGCTGGCATGGTTCAAACTGGTCACAAGGTATCCGCTGCAAACATGTTCTCTGGTTTCGTTACGTCAGTGCGTCAAACACCGACTGAGAATACTCGAGGCATTATCGATCGCTCACACCTTGTGTATCCAAAAATATGTAATCTGTACCCTTGACCTACCCTGACTGTAACCAATCACGTGCAACCACACACA